TCTTTTGCTTTCACCAAGTATATTGTCTTCTTCCCCAGGAAGTATTAATTTCCACTTGCCATTGTCAAGAGAGTGAAAGAAACCTCTTCCAGCAGAATCTGCCACAAAAATCTGCCCCCATCCAGCTCTCTGATTGTTGCCCTTGAACCCCACTCTTCTTTGATCCTGGATTGTGTTGTTTTCTCTTCCCCAAACCACTCCTCCATAGTAACACCATCCACCAATTGGCTCCATACCTCCTTAGACCTTGGCTTTTTAGCCTAATCATTATTTCGTACACTGGTATTTCATACTGATTGCTCTTATGAGTCTGCTTTGCTGTCCTGCCCTGCTTGGCCACCTGGCCCCTCTTCTGTGATCCCTTTTTCTACCTTCTCTCCCAGAATCTCAGCTCTGTTGAGGCTGATGCCTTCCAAATATAAAAAATCTACTCCTACCTTGCTCCTGTCCAGACCCAGCTTTCTCACTGGTTTCAAAGTGGGTCACTTTCTGCCATCTGCAACAGACAATTGCAAAGAGAGGACTTCTGGTGTCTTTCTTTATCAGACCAACTGGACCATTTCTGTGAGCAGTGTGTCTATCTTTCCTGAACACTGTTTGTTTAATTGGAGAGGTCTAACCTGGTAATAAATCACATTAATAAGCAGAGTATGACCTACTGAGTGAGGAGGAAAAAGCCATCCACGTGGGGTCAACAGGTAGTTCCTTCAGTGTCTGAGCTTCCACTCTGCACAGGGAAAATCATGGGGTCATTTTGCTTGAAGGCACAGTTTTATACTCTCACACAAAGAAAATAAAGTCACAAAATTAACTACTTAAGCACTACATAAAAGAGGAAAGGTCACAGTGAGCCAGGAAAGGGAAGTCCTCTCTCCCAGGTCACTAATGAGTAGGAGATAAAAAACAGAGCAGCCTACACCTTATCACTTAGAAGATGGTTAGGGTGGTGGCACTAGCTTTTGGTAGGCCCAGCTATAAGTGGTTATTTTATTTTATTTTTTTAAAAGATTTATTTATTTATACATACAAGAACTGGGGTATAGGCCAGAGGTGTGAGGGGTAAGAGGATTCACCAGAGACAGAGTGGGGAACAGAACAGGCAGATTGCCTGAAATACACTGCTGAGGGGAGCAGCAGGGGAGACAGGAGAGGTCTGCTGTGCCATGGGGGTAGCTCCCTGGCCGGGAATCAAGCTGGTGCTGCAGAGGCTGCAGATAGCTTCACAGTGCTGTGCTTAACCCCTTGCGCCACCAGGGAGGACCTCTAAGTAGTTATTTTATTTTATTTATTTATTTTATTTTTTTTTAAGGAGGCATGTATTTTTATTTATCTATTTATTTGTTTGTTTGTTTATACATGCACTGGGTACAGTCAGAAGCGCGGGAGGGTGAGAGAATTCACCAGAGCCAGAGCGGGGAGCAGAGCAGGCAGAAGGAATGAAGTACACTGCTGAGGGAAGCAGCGGGCGGTAGGAGGGGTCTGCGCGCCATGTGGGACCCTCCTCTGGTGGCCGGGGAGCAGCCGGGGATAGAACCAGTGCCGCAGAGGCCGCGGGCAGCTTCGCAACCCAGCGCTCAACCTCTGCGCCACCGGGGAGGCCCTAAGTAGTTATTTTAAAAGGTGCACTGGGAAAAGCAATTTAGGAACTTACAGTAGGAGTACTCAACTTGCATCCTTATCTAAATGTGCAGACTCTGGGTGTGAACAGGGTTCTCATACTGTAAGATGCCTAGGCAGCAACTCAAACAACTCATCACATGCTTGCACACACCCTTTGCTGTGTTCACTTGGTGTCCATTTCACTTGATGTTATTTCCTTCCATGGAACTTCTGGCCACTCGCCTTCCCTACCACTCCAGCAGTATCCCACGTCTATCATCTGACCATGCCACCCCAATGGAAACCTGATGCCCTTGGAATCTACCACACATTTCTAACCAGAGCTATGATAGGGCTCAAACTTCTGGTACATTCCTTTCTTCATTCCAGTCCAGTTTGCTGAGTCCCACCCTCCCTCCATCCCCCAACAACTGGGAGTGCCCCTCTACTCAGCCCACGATTATGGAACGCTGACTCTATTCCAGGGAGAGCAGGTCCTCAGATCACCTCCTTTTGTTCAACCTCATTTCATTAGACCACAGATGAGGAAAAAAACAAAAGTGTGCCCAGCCTACATTGAATAAAGTGATAGTTATTTGAGGACCAGCTTTTGTTATAATTGTTTTGCTTAAAGTCACAGTTTTCAAGAACCTATCAATGATGTTAAGTGACAATCTATAGTAATATACTATGCTCTGGGGATTAGGATGACCAAGATATAACACAGTTCTCAGTATTTTTTGATAGAACACACAGACATGAATAAAGAATAAAGCAGGAGGGCCTCCCCGGTGGCACAGCTGGTTGAGCGCAGTGCTGTGAAGCTGTCTCCAGCCTCTGCAGCATGGGTTCGATTCCCAGCTGGCCAAGGAGATACCCACATGGTGCGGCAGACCTCTCCTGCCTTGCCCACTGCTCCCCTCAGCAATGTACTTCAGTCCTTCTGCCTGTTCTGCTCCCTGCTCTGTCTCTGGTGAATTCTCTCACCCTCCTGTGCCTCTGGCCTGTACCCCAGTGCTTGTATAAATAAATCAATCTTTAAAAAAAGAATAAAGCAAGAGATGATGATTAGCAAAGTTACTAAAAGAGCACAGAGAAAATTTAGAATTAAACTTCATAACAGTGAAAATTCCAAACTACCAAATGATAATATTATGAAATCTAACAAATAAACCACTTAAAGAATATTTAATTCTGTTTTTTTGAACTTTCCTTAAATATGTGGCTTAAGGGCCAAACTCCTGGAAAAATTTTCTGAGTGATTTACTCTTCCTCTGACTCACTGTCTCATTTACTGATACATATTGTGCCTCCAGCAATGTCTGTAAACATTAAAGTTCTGTAAATAAATGCAGTCTTTTGATTAGAGTGCAAAAGATAACATCCTTCTTTGTAAATACTCCTGCTCCTTATTAGAAACTGAATTGAATCTTCATTCTATTCCCCAAGTGCATGGAATAGTGGCTTATAATTGATGGGTGTTCAGTTAGTTCAGGTTGAGTCATAGCTTTATTTATTGGAACAGGCTTTGAGAAATTGTCACTCAATTGTAAGACATGCCTTTCAAATAACTTTTCATCTTTAAAAACTTTGTAGCTTTCACCTTCATTTCCTTTGCCCTTCTCATTCCTTGTAAACCTCCTTTCTCTTAAGCCCTTTTCCAGGATGAACATTACATTAAATATAAATTGGGAAAGCTCAGTCAGGACAACGTGTCTGGAGACCCCAAGTACACTAACCTAAGAAGATTGCTACAGAGAGGTAGGAGTGTTCACCCCCTTGGGGTGACTCCTGCTTCAGGCACCATAGACTGGGTTATCCACTCCTGGCATATTTTCTGAGAGCCTGCTCTGTACCACAAACGTGCAAGATTCTGTGCACACAATGTTGGGCCAAAAGGAAAGCTGTTGTGCCTCTTGTTTAGGGGTGTGGACTCAATTACAAGTTTACCTTAATAACTATGTTATAATTATATCCTATCACTGATACAGAGAGGAAGAGCTCATTAGTGTTTGACTCCCTAACAGTTCTGTGACATCAGGTCTCTGAGTCTGTCTGTCTGTGTTTTTCTCTTTCCCTCTTTGTTAATGGCCATGAAGAAGATGGCTAACGCCAGTGATCACTATGGGGTTTTATACCTACATTCCTTCTTTTAATTGTGGAATTCTTGATCCCCCAAAGTAGATGTTATCTCCATTCTAAATACAAATAACGGAGTAAGACAACATAGTTATTATCAGACTATCATTGGGAGAGCGAATAAACGCAGGCTGGCATTATGGGAGTTTGGAGGCAGAAATATGCCACAGGACCTAATTTGAAACCTTTGATTTAGTGATTGCTAACCCACCTAAATCAGGGACCCCACGTTTACTTTTACAGCAGCGAGAAAAAAAAAATCCCCTTTCCTTTGCAGAAGTCTGAACTGGATCTCAAAATCTGAAACGTGTCCTCCCATATGGTTGACAAACCATGGATTTTCCAAGATAGCTGCCATACATTCAGTTTCTCAACCCTGCATTTCTTCCCCGCCAGAATTTCTAAATCCTTCCCGAAAAGGCCCAGCCACACTTTCCCAACTTTTGAGCAAGCAAACATCTTTCGGCTTCATCTGCTTTCCGCAAAGCCCCCAGGCACAGGCAGGGGCGCAGAGGCCGGGGCGCAGCGCCCAGCGCGGGGGATTCCTGCTCTGCAGGTACCGGGGGCGGCGAGGCCGCGGGGTGTCGGGTGTCCGCGCTCCCGCCAGCCTACGACGCGCGAACGTGCCCCCCAGCTGCGTCCCACCCGCTGCCGGCGATCTGAATGCGGAGCAGCGCTATTTTTACCTTCTGGGCTGCAATCCTTTACATTTATTTGCAGGAAGGAAATAAATAAAGGCTCAAGAGGGAAATGCTTGTCCTTGTTTCTCCCCGAGAAGGAAGGGTTTTGGAATGGGGGTGGGGTGGGGTGGTATGTGAGGTCTAGTGTGGAGGGAGAGGCAGGTCGACTTGCCTAGATTATTCTTGTCTCTGTCCTAGAAGACCCCGCACTTTTCTCTTCCCCTCTGGCTAATCCCTGCCTGCCAGTTTCCTCCCCGCTTCCCCCGCCCCCACGCTGGAGGTGCCGCCGTCACCTCTGATGCCGCCTGGGATGCTGCATCACTCTGCTGCTTTTTTTCCCTACTCTGTCACCTCCACCCCCCTCACCCCCCCACCCCCACAAAGCATGCGCAGTGCGTTCCGTGCCAGGCAACAGCATCAGCACCAGCATCAGCATCAGGACCCTGAGCCGCGCCGGGCGCGCTGGAGCGAGCGGGGCGCATACCCGCGTGGCGCGCGCCCGCTCCGCTCGCTCCCGCGCGCCGAGGCCCCAGCAGCAGCCCCCACAGTTGCTGGAGCGGCCGCGCCCGCTGCAGGGAGGGAGGAGCTGCTGGGGAGGCTCCAAGTTGGCGGAGCTTTCGGGACCCCCGGGCTCTTCGGCGGCCGCCCCAGGAGGGGCTGAGAGGCGAGCAGGGGAGGGGCGCAGCCCAGTCCCGAGCCCCGACCCCCTGCCCGCGGCGGCACCATGCGTGCAGAGCCGGCGTGACCGGCACCGCCCGCAGCCTAGCCCAGCGCTCTTGCCGGCCACACGGAGCGGCGCCCAGGAGCTATGAGCCATGAAGCCGCCCGGCAGCAGCTCCCGGCGGCCGCCCCTGGCGGGCTGCAGCCTTCCCGGAGCCTCCAGCGACCCCCACGGCGGCCCCGCCGGCCCGGCGCCTGCCCGCACCCTGGCCCGCGCGCCGCGCTGCCGCCTGCTCCTCGTCCTGCTCTTGCTGCCTCCGCTCGCCGCCTCGTCCCGGCCCCGCGCCTGGGGGGCTGCTGCGCCCAGCGGTGGGTATGGCCACGGTGCCCGTAGCGCTGCCTTGCTCGCGGGGCCCTGCAGAGGAAAGCGAAGGGCACCCGGGTCCGTGCGCTCCTGACACATCCCGGACTCGGCCTCTCGGTGCCTCCCTGCCTGCTTCCTCTTCTCTCATTCCCAAGCCCCCATTCATTCCGGCTCACTTTTTGAAGTCCTTTCTGTTGCATTCACTAAAAACCCAATCCAATTACGATCGGTTCCACTGGAAGGTATTTAGTAGATGCGGGGTCACTTGGCGATCTGTGAGCAACTTGACTAGGGGAAATTGGTGGAAGGGAAATACGCAAGGAGCGAGTAAGTTGCTTCTTGGGTGGTGGAACCCAGTGTGAAAGCGGGAGGATGTAGTGATAATAGTGGTAATGGGCTGTTTCCTCAAAAAAAAATTTTTTTTTTACCGAATTTGTTCACTCTGTTGGAATTAAGGCGGGGGGGGGGAACAGAAGGGGGAGGGCTACTTCAGGGATATAAACCTTTTGTTTGTGATTTCCCCAAATGCTTGTCATTATAATGGACAATTAAGCTACAATAATATTTAATTCATTCATGATTGGAATCAGTGAAAGCAGAAAGATGGCCTTGGCAAGAAGATTCAAAGAAGTTGGGAAATTGCCATCATCTGCATCCCTCTATGGCAAATGATTTTTTTGCTTATCTCAAAGTTAAAAGAAAAGGGAATTGTCCATTTTGTTAAAGGATCCATGTCCATGAATTCAGCACTGAAGTTATCTTAGCAGCATTCTTAGCTCTGAAATGGGATACTAGTTAGAGTACCACTGAACTTCTGTAGCTTCAGAGAAGGGGTGGAGGGTCAGAACCCTGAGCATGTCCATTTAATGACTCTTCCTGCAAGTCCATTCTGCTTCTCCCCATAGTTATAAGTATAGATAAGACTGGTTTTATACATATATATATGAAACATCAATAAAAATAAACAGTACATTATTGTGACTATTAACCTATGCAGGCCGTTTTGTTGTTGCAATAATTTGTTCTACTGTCTCTACTTACCTGCTCATAGGCAACTTTGTTTTTGCAATTAATGGAAAAATGCATGTTAATATTTATGTATTTATAGGTTATATATGTGTGTTTGTGTATGTTTGTGCTCCCTCTACCCCCCAGCTCCGCATTGGAATGAAACTGCAGAAAAAAATTTGGGAGTCCTGGCAGATGAAGACAATACATTGCAACAGAATAGCAGCAGTAATATCAGTTACAGCAATGCAATGCAGAAAGAAATAACACTGCCTTCAAGACTCATATATTACATCAACCAAGACTCAGAAAGCCCTTACCATGTTCTTGACACAAAGGCAAGACACCAGCAAAAACATAACAAGGTAGGCAGGAGGCTGGGTATGCGAAAGTAACTGTCATAAAGAGTTTTTCTTTGATTTGATAGTCTGCCAGAATATTTCACAGATTTTACTGTAGCATATAATAGGAAATCAATTAATACTATGATAAAGGAGAAGTAGAGGGAATTAACCTGGGATCCGATGGGATGAGATTGCTGTTTGTTTCTCTTCTCTGACTCTAAACTGCAATTGGATTTTTTTTATAGCTTTATAAGTTTAACAACTGAAATGTGGTCCACGATCTTTCAGATGTGTTAGACACTGAACAAAAAGTGACTATGTCTGTGGTCCTGACTTGTATCTGTGAGGCTTTATGTAAGGGTGCAGTATTCTACCTCCCATGATGAAAATTACTCCCATCTGCACACAGATTCTAGAAGAGGCTGTTTGGCTGTAGATCCCCCACCAGTCTTGCACTTAAAAATTTAGTGTTTAAATTTCAACAACCTCTTTCTTTCATTGGCATTGGGAAGATTTTTTTTCTCTTATATTTTCAGTAGGTAAACAAGTTGGTATTTTAAAAGATTATGGTGAATATGAACAAATTGTTTATATAGATGGAGGCCAGTTTTGGGCAGTATCATCCTTCAAGACTTTATCTGCATTTCTCGTGAGCACTTGCTTTACTTTCAGGTTGTTTCAGAAAGTGGCACTGATTTTTACAGAGGCATTCAATGCGAGATGAAGGTACTGAATACCCAAAGAACTTAAGGGATCTTCTTTTTCCGGCTACTGTTCTTTATTTAAGTTAATAATATGTTGGACCTCAAGCACATTCACACAACGGGATATCATTGTGTCTATTCCTTATCAGGAGCAGAAAATAGTCTGGATGTCAAATATTTCACTTTGAACTATACCTGTTCAGTTGTGATGAACAGTAACTATCTTGACTTGAAATTTAAGAAAAGTATCTGTGGTTAACATTCCTGCTTTTTATTAATTTTCTAAAATATAAGTTAGAGTAACAGAGTCTATCTCCCCATTTTACAAATGAAAATTTAAGGCTTTTAGATGACTTTCCCAAGGTTGTAAAGAAGCTAATAGAAAATTCAAGAGACCTGAATATTTAACCTTTACAAGGCAGGCCTCTGAGAAAACACATTTTTCATTTTGAGTATTTTTGGAGACGCTGACTTTGTTTCACAGTGCTGTAAAGTGGCTGCTACCCACCTTGGCTGGGATGAATGGGTTTCTATTCTTATAGTCCTTTTCCCATCTGCTCCAATGTAACTTAATGGCTTGACTTCTGGACCTTTCTACCCATTTCTCTTATTGATAGGAGTGGTGGGTGGTGTCTTTAAAGAAGGGAGAGCCAACGCCCTCTCTTCATGAATTCATTGTCTCCAATTATATGACTTTCTTAATTAATGAGACTGGCTATGTTTAAGTTAGAAGCTCTTAAATTCCATTGCCTTTGCATAGGGTGCTAGAGGAAGAAAATAAAAAAACAAAAACAAAGAAAAACAAAATAAAACCCTGCCTCATAGTCTATTTTAAAGAATGCTCAAACCCTCCTGAGCTGAATCTTGAAAGAAATTTCAGTGGTGCTTCTTTGTAACTCAGACATTGAAGTCTATGACTAATGTCTTTTATAATCTGATCTTATGTGGTTATTTTGCCTGGTAGCACATGGTTTGACTACAATATTTGAATTTCTAGATAATAAGGTTTGTTAGAACCTCGTGTGGAAGACTAGATTTCTTACTATGGAACTCTGCCTGCTCTTGGAGTGATTCTGCCTCTCAAAATCAACCTCCTCTTTCCCCAGGGTGAGGGGGGTCTTTTATTCTCAAAAAAAAAAAAAAAGTTTACACAGATAATATATTTGTCAGCATTTTCTTCTTTTCTTATTATCAATAGTTTAATTCAACAGACATTTGTTGCTCTGAATACTAACGATTCAGAGATAAGAGATAAAGGGTACAAGGATGAAAAAGACATGGTCTGAGTCTCCTCCAGGAGACTCAAAAATGAGAAAACAAGAGTCTAAAAAGTGCTCCTGTCTGGTCTTACATAAGTTCCTTGAAATTTCCCGTTATGTTCTGTGATTTTTTTTTTTTACTTCTGATTTATTTCTGTTTTTTTTTTTTTTATTTCAGTTCTTTTAATTCTCTTGAACTAGTTGACAGAAACTGTCCCATATGCCTTCTGCTGTATCTTAGGATGACTTGCCTGATAATAGTGTTTAGAGAGCCTTGCCAGTTCAGCTGCTTTACAAATGTTTCTGTCAGAGAGAAACTATATATATTTTCATCATTTTTGCTTTGATAAAGAGAAGTTTTGATTTTAATATCTGTGTATTATGTAGCTTTTTTCCTTTCCTGACTTTCCAGCCCATTTTAATGAATGCCTTAGAAATGCTGAATCACTGCCATTCTCATGGATCCCTAGATTGGGGGTAGAGGTGGAGAGGGAATTCCCAGATATAGGTTGCCAGGCTGAGCTCAAAATTTATGTCTTTCAAAATTTCCTAAATATTCAGTGCTGGTCAGGCCTCATTACTGTACAGCTGTGGAGTTCATATGTTTAGTAACTCTTGAAATTGGTGAATTTAAAAACAGAGTCTGCAAAGCATCTCTTTACATACCAGTGTCTCTAAAATCTTTGAAGTTTTCTTCATCAAAGATTTTAAGAACTATTTTAATATCCAAATAGGGTTATGTATATCTTGTCAAACTGTGCCATTTTTGAGAGTGAAATGACATGCTTAATAATTAAGCCAAATCTTAGGCATAAACCAAGAAGGTCCAGAGCAAATCTAAACAGTTATGTTCCTGGAGTTCTGGTGCTTACCCAAATTCAGGTTTCTTTATAGACAATTTTGTATTCTGATAATTGATATGAATTTTCTCTCTAGCCAGCAGGTCAATTTACCATCAGGTCGAAGTATTAGGGTCTGAAATGGTAAAGTCTAATTTTGCTTTGTTATCAAGACTTCTGTTCTTCATTGGTAGAAACTTTTACAACCATAATGAAATTATTTTTATTACAAAAAATAAGTAATTTATTATCCAATTATGTGGTATATTGATAAAATAGATCCTACATTTAAAAAAAGGGAGAAGCAAATTAGATTGATTCATTCATAGCTAATCCTATGAGGTCTGTTCCTAAGAAAGTTAATAAATCTTTTCTAAAACTTTTCTTCATTGTAAAATTACTTGTCCTGTATGCTACCGTCTTAGGATTCTTTCTTCTTACAGCTGGCAAGAGATGAAGAGGTACACCGTGCATAGCATAGGGTCTGGGGGAAAGTGAAGGTCATCTCCTGTAACTTGGTTTGTGTATAGCTTTGTCTTTTATTACCTTCCCTACTCCCCATCACCCCAGGTTGAGGAGAGTGATGAGAGAAATGTTTAAATGAATTTATATGGCTGTGATTATTATTTTTAAAATTAATTAATATATATTTACATCATTGTTCATTTTTGTACAATGTTTGCTTTCTCCTCTCAGGAGTAGTTCCCGTAAAATTCCCACCACCAATTCACGCATGCACCATCACCATAGTCCCTTGTATTTTTCCCTCCCCTGTTTTGCTCCCTTTCCCTCCCCCTCCCCTGAAGAATGTCTCTGATTTATAGTTGCCTGTTAATTTTTTTATTTACTACTGTTGTTTTGTTATTATTTTTCCTGATCCTTTATTTGGTTCCCCTATATTCCTCCTATAAGTTAAACCATCTGAAATTTTACTTTTTCCTTTTGACTTATTTCACCGAGCATAATCCCTTCCAGCTCCATCCATGTTGCTGCAAATGGCATGAGTTTTTCGTTTTTAAAGATTTATTTATTTATGCGTACAAGAACTGGGGTACAGGCCAGAGGTGTGGGGGGTGAGAGGATTCACCAGAGACAGAGTGGAGAATATAACAGGTGGATTGACTGAAACACACTGCTGGGGGAGCAGCTGGCAAGTCAGGAGAGGTCTGCTGCACCATGTGAGTAGCTCCCTGGCTGGGGATCAAACTAGTTCTACAGTGGCTGTGGATAGATTCATAGATTGTGTCTTTACCCCTTGTGCCACCAGGGAGGACCTGGCGTGAGTTCTAGATCACTGATTATTATCACTTCCTCCTCTACCTTAGCCCAATGCTGGTTCCATATATCTTTTTTTTTAAATTAATTAATTTATACAAGAACCGGGGTACAGGCCAGATGTGCGGGAGGGTGAGAGGATTCACCAGAGACAGACCCGGGAACAGAACAGGCAGACTGACGAAATACACTGCTGAGGGGAGCAGCGGGCACGACAGGAGAGGTCTGCTGCACCATGTGGGACCCTCACCAGCCAGCCCGGATCGAACCCATGCTGCAGAGGCTGCGGACAGCTTCACAGTGCGACACTTAACGCCGACACCACCAGGGGAGGTCCTGGTTCCATATATCTTGACCATGCAGAAGCTAGTTGCATCATTGTTCTTGGTGTGGGGCAGCAGAAAGGGACACCGATTCCTTTTTCAGATTTGTTAGAGTGGCAACTACTAGATCATATGAGATCATTAACTTTTCTGTTGGTCTCATAGCCTTTGAAGTTTTCCAAATCTTCCTAAGAAGTCATTATAAAATTGTACTATATAGAATTCAGGCTTGTAATGGTTTCACTGACACATAGAAGGCTGTAAAGTAAATAATGATTGAATATTCACATGTTATAAAGAGTGCAGTGCTTTCTGTGAAATTTCATATTGTACTCAAATTGACATTCAAAAGAGCCTTAAGTTATTGTTAACCATTTTTGGCACTGTGACAGATCAGTGGGAGAGATAATTTTGTTCTTGAGTTTTTGGCACCTCATCAGTCACATTTAATGTAAGCACACAGTGCTTACATTACCTAAAATAGTGAAAATACCTGTATTAACAATTCTTAGATGATCCCTATCCCTGCCACCTGCCATGGATGTGACTCATCAAGAGTTAACCATGGTGGGGGGGTCTCCCTGGTGGCACAAGGGGTTAAACACCGCACTATGAAGCTAT